CGACGGATCAGCCCTATGAGATCGAGAAGGGCTTCCGATTCTGTATGACAACARAACGAGCATTCGCTGGACGGCCAAAGATTGAATGAAATGTTGGCATGGGGTTGCGGCTCGACCTCAAGTGGAGGCTAGTAGTAAATGGGTTGTCGATAGTCTGAATAAAGGGACCGATAGTTATGGCATAACGACTAGTTTTGGAGCCACATCCCATCGAAGGACCGATCGAGGAGAAACCCTTCAAAAAGAGCTTATTAGGTGAATTTTTTTCTCATTTTCGTCAGCAACGTCAAGTTTAAATTTTCACTCCATATTTAAGATTTTAGGGGATTCGAACTTGCAACCTTTAGAGGTATATGTCAATTACCCTTAAGCTATGGTCGCTTTGACCTATATAATATTTTTATTAAATAATTTACTAAAAATTAATAGCAGTGACTAAAATAGTTTTTTTTTAACCAATATTTATGAATTAAATTAGAACATTCGAAAATTTTGAAACTGAATTAAAAAATATTTAAAATTTCAAAAAGCAAAATAAGATTTAAGACAAAATTGGGCTTACGTTATTGGTAGGGTTTGTCATTGATGATGTGCAAATACTTAGCGAGTTTGGTCAATAAAATTGAACTATTTTACGGCAATTTTTGGTCTCTTTATTATTGCTTTTTTATTTATGGGCGAGTCGGTGACTTTATTTTATTATTATTATTCTTTTGAAAAAGTTGGTGACTTTAACTAATTGCCTATTTTTTTCTGTCATATAATTAATGAATAAGCCTACACGACGACATAAGTGGTTATAACGAACAAATTTATGGTATTCTTCTACTTATAAGTTAAATAGGAGAAATGGTACCTACGTCATTTTTAATACACTGTTGATGTGTCAAGTAATAAATAGAAGAAGTATGTTACTCTAGTAGTACCAGAAAATTTTCCAGCTATAATTATAGTGTAATTATTGTTATTTTTTTAACAAATTATAAAATATTCCGTTCCTAATTAAACAACCACTTATTTATATATTTTTATTTAAATTGTGATATATTTTTAAATAGTATAATATATCGTTTTTGGGATTTTTTTAATAATGTGAATTTTTAAAATATTTACCAAAATATGCCTCATCTCAAACTAATTACAAGAATAATGCTTTGAAATCAGAGGCGACCAACAAACGTGGCGCTTACTCAGCGCCACGGTAATTTTTTTTTTAAAATTAACCATGGTTGAAGAGACGACCATGTCTTTTTTTCTTTATTTTTTTAAAATACTAGGTTTTTTTTTACTTTGGTCGTCTCTGAAGAGACGACCAGAAGAGGTTGCGGCGGCTAGACGGTGGACTGATCGGCGGAGACGGCGGCGGAAAAATCGGCGGCGGCGGCGGCTGAATGTATTTTGGATATGGGGATAGGGGTGAGGGGTTAGGGTTTTTAAAACGAAACCTATTTTAAAAACCCAAGAGACGACCAAGGCGCCAGCTGACGCCCATAAGAGACGACCAAGCGGGATTTGAAAAAATCCCGCCTAAAATGTCGTCTCTTCAAGAGACGACATGTTACGTTATTTTAAAGAAAAAAAGAAAAAAAAGACATGGTCGTCTCTTCAACCATGGTTAATTTTAAAAAAAAAAAATTACAGTGGCGCTGAGTAAGCGCCACGTTTGTTGGTTGTCTCTTCAAGAGACAGACCAACTTATGCCAGCTCATAGGTCGTCTCTTCAAGAGACGACCTATGAATTTCAAAGCATTATTCTTGTAATTAGTTTGAGATGAGGTATATTTTGGTAAATATTTTAAAAATTCACATTATTAAAAAAAAACCCTCGTTTTTGCCCCTCGAAATGTCATAATAAGTTTATATTGTTGTTAAATTTTGAAATTTTAATAATCAATTTCTGAAAAGAAATTTCAAAACTAAATCAATTACTTATGATTTTAAGATTTTAGTTAATATTTAAAGATGTTTTCAAAAATTAAATTAGGAAACAAATATATCATTTTAAAAGAAATTCAATGTTCTTGAAAATACTAAAGAGACAACAACTAAAAATAATTTTGTAATAAGATGGAACTTAAAAAAAAATTATATATATATATAATATATATTTGACCTCTAAAATAAATTTCAACAATAAATGATTGATTGGTAGCATTACTTATTACTAGATAAAGAATTTTTAAGGTTTACTCAAACTTGCAGAGATTAATATGCTTTATTTTCCTAGAAAAAAAAGATAAATGGGTTAGAATTTTATTTTACTTTAATGAATTATTGATGGAGTAATTTGTGTGTGGACAGATTTTTAAACGCTGGAATTTTTGGGAATGATCCAAATTCTCTCAACACATTGCCACAGTCAGCAACACGAGCCGCTATGCTTGTGAGAATCAACACTCTTTTGCAAGGCTATTCGAGGATTAGGTTTGAAATTTTAGAAGCCATAACCAGATTGCTCAACCATTACATAACCCCATGTCTTCCTCTTAGAGGCACAATTACTGCTTCTGGTGACCTCGTCCCTCTCTCTTACATTGTTGCACTTTTGATTGGTAGGCCCAATTCTAGGGCCATTGGACCGAGTGACAAATGTCTCAACCCAAACCAGGCCTTCCATCTCGCAGAGATCAATGATGGATTCTTCCATTTGCAGCCGAAAAGAAGGTCTTGCTCTTGTTAATGGCACAGCGGTTGGCTCTGGCTTGGCCTCCATAGTTCTTTTGAGGCAAATATTTTTGCCGTCCTCTCAGAGATTTTGTCAACAATTTTTGCTGAAGTTATGCAAGGAAAACCTGAGTTTACAGATCATTTGACTCATAAGTTGAAGCATCATCCTGCTCAGATTGAAGCAGCTGCAATTATGGAACATATATTGGATGGAAGTTCCTATGTGAAAACTGCAAAAAAGTTGCATGAAATTGATCCACTTCAAAAGCCTAAACAAGACCGATATGCTATAAGAACCTCTCCCCAGTGGCTCGACCCTCTCATTGAAGTCATCAGATACTCCACCAAAATGATTGAACGTGAGATTAACTCAATCAACGATAACCCATTAATTGATGTCTCTCGAAATAAGGCTTTACATGGAGGGAATTTCCAAGGTACACCCATTGGTGTCTCCATGGACAATACTCGCCTAGCTATTGCTTCTATCGACAAACTCATGTTTGCTCAAATCTCCGAGCTTGTAAATGACTTTTACAATAATGGGTTGCCTTCAAATCTCTCGGCAAGTGGAAACCCAAGTCTAGATTATGGGTTCAAAGGTGCCGAGATTGCTATGGCTTCATATTGCTCTGAGCTTCAATACTTGGCGAATCCAGTAACCAACCACGTCCAAAGTGCAGAGCAACATAACCAAGACGTCAACTCATTGGGTTTGATATCATCGAGAAAAACGGCAGAGGCTGTTGAGATATTGAAGCTCATGTCTGCAACTTACTTAGTGGCATTGTGTCAGGCTATTGACTTAAGGCACTTAGAAGAGAATTTGAAGAAGACAGTGAAGAACACTGTTAGCCAAGTGGCTAAGAAGATTCTTGTAATGCACTTCAACGGAAATCTCCATCCAATTAGATATAGCGAAAAGGACATGCTTCAAGTCGTGGATCGAGAACACGTTTTTGCCTACATCGACGACCCAAGCAACGCTTCATATCCATTGATGCAAAAGCTAAGACAAGTGCTCGTGGAACATGCCTTGAAAAAGGGTGAAAGAGAGACCAACCCAAGCGTTTCGATCTTCCAAAAAGTCATATCTTTTGAAGCAGAATTAAAGGAGGTTTTGCCTAAAGAAGTTAAAAATACAAGAATCGCAGTGGAAAAAGGGAGGCCTATGGTTGAAAATCAAATCAAAGAATGTAGATCATATCCTCTGTACAAGTTTGTTAGAGAGACGCTGGAGACTAGGTTGTTGACCGGCGAGAAAGAGGTGTCACCGGGAGAAGAATTTGATAAAGTTTTTTCGGCTATTTCAACTGGAAAATTGATTGATCCGATGCTTGAATGTTTGAAGGATTGGAATGGTGCTCCACTTTCTCTCAGGTAGGATGTGTTTTTCCTTTTCCATTTATGCCCTCGTGCTAGTTTTTCTCTAGGCGTTGGTGTCGTGTCCAGTAACCCGGTAAAATTACTTCTCACACCCATTTTTGTCTCGTATAGATTCAAAATTTCTTTGTAACTATAGAGTGTAATAATGTAATTGGATAATGTCCCTCCCTCCCTCGTTTACTAATCTTAATATTTTGTAATTATGGATTTTATGTGAGTGCAACCATAAACTTAACCAAAATAAAATTGAAAATTTATAAAATATCAGTAATCATTCTATATATTTAGTTATATATGCAATTTGTAATTCTCAATATATCTGTATTTCATTCATGATTTTTGAGTTTAATCTCCACTTGTTTGTGATATAATATTTAAAAAAATAAAATAAAATAAAATATCTTGTCTTTGTTTTTTTCATATCAACAAACAATAACATACTTTGAGGTATTTTAATATTTATTCTTAAATGTCAAAAAATAAAGTAAAGATTTTAAAATCCGGCTAAATAATCGTCTTATAATTAAAAATACAAGTCTAATTTATACGACTGTATTTGACTAAATAAAAATACAAAAATATAGTTATTATATTTTTTTATAAAAGAAACTAAACCGTTCATTTTTAATATTATGTCTATACACACACATATATATAATTTAGTATAACAATTGGGGATGAGAGATGGACTTCGAAAGAAGAAGTTACGTGCCAAACAGAGCATAGTTCAAACGGTTAAGGCACATATTTCTAATCAGAAAGTCATGAGTTCGAACTCCCGTGCCTTAAACGCTGAACTAACTGATATTAGCAATATTATATCAATATTAATTATATTTTGTTGATATTTTTTCTATTTTAATGATATTTTCAAATACTATAAAATTATTGTGACGGATATTTAATACCTGCTCAGTAATTAGAGAGGCCTATAAATTGCTTACAGAGACCCGCTTCAAAGTTCGAACTGCATTGCTTCGCCTTGGTTCTCTCCTAAGCCGTCATTTTCCTTTTCACTGTTTCTCTCCCTCTTCAGCTTCCAATCTGCCTCTAATGGCGTACGAGAAGATCCTTTTGGGAATGGGAAATCCCCTGCTCGACATCTCCGCCGTCGTCGACGATGATTTCTTGAAAAAGTAAGTTCAGTTCCATCTCTCTCAGGTTTTTCTTGTCATGACATCGTTTAGCCTCAATGCACCAAGAAAACGAGGGAACGGAACGTTTTCAGAATAGATCTGAGCATTTCCGAGCTGGTTTAGGTTGGACATGGCGGATCCGTCACTTTTCTTTATGTTTCTATGTGTATACTTAGTTTGCTTGCGGAGGAGCTCGATAGAAATGATTAAAAGATCTAGATGTATGCTTTAGGTTTCCTGTTCCTAGCTGAAAATGTGTGTGTTCGGTTGTGATTTCGATGAATACTACATTAGTTTTATTTCATTATATGTAGAAGCTCTATTATTAACGTATACAGAATTGCAGATTAATTTATGTGTCTATATTGTCAGATACGATGTCAAGTTAAACAACGCCATCCTTGCCGAGGAGAAACACTTGCCTATGTGAGTTTCTTTCTTACTCTTTTATTCTACAACTATGGTTTTTTTTTTCACCTGTAATTCATCAGGATTTGGAAGGAAGTATTGTTGGTTTATAGTTTTTACGTATGTTGCATTATTTCTCAGTAAACAGGCCAACGGATTTGTAAATAGGAGATATGTATTATGTAGTTCATAATAAATTTGTTTTTACGGCGAGCTTATTTCTTTGGTTATTAGTAGCATTGTTAGCCGATTTCTGCATACCATGCATCCTCTGCTTTGTTTCTTGCTTAAATGATGTCACTGCTCAACAATTTTCCCTCATGAATTTGTAAAGGTACGAGGAACTGGCTTTAAAAGACAATGTGGAATATATTGCTGGAGGTATTTTGAAAGTTTTTCAAGTGCTTTTAGATATTTACCTCTTACTACTTGGTCATTTGTGTAACCTGATGACTTATGTTTTATTTTTCTATGTTATTTATGTTACCTGAAGGCGCCACTCAAAATTCTATTAAAGTTGCTCAGGTTGGTAGCAGTCTTATCAGTTAAATTTTTACTCTGTTTGCAGTTTTATGAAATAAGGTTTCATTTCTCCGACTATCCAATTGATATTTTTATTTCTTTACAGTGGATGCTTCAAATTCCTGGTGCTACTAGTTATATTGGTTCCATTGGAAAGGACAAGTTTGCAGAGCTGATGAAGCACAACTCAAAGCTTGCTGGTGTTAATGTAAGTCTGGGTACATTTTTCAACTTCCCAGTGCTTTTAGTTTCGAATTATCTACTACAAAAATCCATGATTATTATCACATGTATTCAGGTACAATATTATGAGGACGAAACTGCTGCCACTGGTACATGTGCTGTCTGTGTTGTAGGTGGTGAGAGGTAGATAAGGCACTATAAATTTACTGATTTACATATTGCTTATTGTTCCACTCCATGTGATGGTCATTCTCCTTAAAGTGACTGTATCTAACTTCCGAACAAAAGTCAGGAGGAGCTGAATATAGTCATTTGCTTTGAAAATTAACATCCATCCACAGGGAGTGGAAAGTAGTGACCTCAATGTGTGTGCGTGCTGTGGAACGAGTCCTCCATATTTCATTACAACTCAAGTATAACTCAATTTACAAATTTTCAGGTCACTTATTGCTAACTTGTCAGCAGCGAACTGTTATAAAACTGAGCACTTGAAGCGACCTGAAAACTGGGCACTAGGTTCTCATTACCCCACTACCTTCTTATTTTGTTTTCCACTTATTTGTATATTTATCATCGACCATATGCTACAACAGGCCTGACCTTAATGCAAATTTATTTTTGAACAGTGGAGAAGGCAAAATACTTCTATATTGCTGGATTCTTCTTGACGGTGTCCCCGGAGTCCATTCAACTTGTTGCTACTCATGCTGCTGCAAACAATAAGGTGCCATTTCCACGTTCATGTGATAAAATTATTATTCCTCTAAATTCTAGTTACAGTAGTTCAGAAACATTAGAATGCGTCTGCAGGTCTTCATGATGAATCTTTCTGCTCCATTCATTTGTGAATTCTTCAGAGATGTGCAGGAGAAAGCTCTGCCGTAAGTCCTGTGCACATATCTCTACTATCTTTAATGCAATGAAGTTATAATGGTATTAGTTGATGGATCTTCCTTGGTCATGATTGTTGTTATGGACTGTTGGCTTAATTTTCAATTCAGATACATGGATTATGTTTTTGGGAACGAGACGGAGGCAAGAACCTTCTCAAAGGTTCATGGATGGGAGGTAATTTTCATGAGGTTCTTTTGGGCCCTCAAATCCAAGAACTGAACTAAAGCTCTCCCACAGTTTGCTAAACTAAGATCCCTTTTCTGATTAGACTGACAATGTGGAGGAGATCGCCATAAAGATTTCTCAGTGGCAAAAGGCATCTGGAACGCGCAAGAGGATCACTGTTATCACTCAAGGTGCCGATCCTGTTGTGGTTGCTGAAGATGGGAAAGCAAAACTATTCCCTGTTATTTTGTTACCCAAGGAGAAGTTGGTCGACACCAATGGGGCAGGTATACGGTCTTACTCTGTTCATCCTTAATTAGGTAGTCATACCCGGACCCCTCACTATTTCATACCGTGGGTTAGATCTAAAATGAATATTTAGGGTCTGTTTGGGAGTGATTTTGACGTCAAAATCACTTCCATTTCCATTGATAATGTTTGGCAAATTATGATTTTCGAGGTATTACTTGGATTGAATGATGGTTTTGAAAAATCAATTACACTAAATTCTCTTTTTTCAAAATCTCTCATTCTACCGTCATTGCCAGACACACCCTCAATGTCATAGACTACTTCTACATGGGTAGGATGAATTTTCCATTGGTTACACCTTGCAAGATCTTTAGTCCAAATAATGCAATATGATTCATCAGTATCACTCATCTTCCCTTTATATTTGTGATCGTCGTTCTTGTGACAGGCGATGCATTTGTTGGGGGATTTTTATCTCAACTGGTTCGAGAGAAGTCCATTGAAGACTGTGTGAGAGCCGGTTGCTATGCAGCTAATGTTGTAATTCAGAGGTCAGGTTGCACATATCCCGAAAAACCCGATTTCAATTAGACTTGGCTTTCGCGCAGAGTAGCAGCAATTTTCACCCGACTCTATCTGGTACTTGGTTACGGAGCCTCCATATTTACTCCTAAATTCATCCATTAGGCATGGGAGTGTATTCTTATCTAAATGTCAAAATTTTCTCAACTTATTCTTCTCATCCAGAACATGGATGATAACTTCTATTTGAGTAAGACTCTGAAGCTGAACTGATCTCCGGTTTAATCTAGAATCGTGTGCATCTTTAATATGAAGTTGTAATGTTGGTTCATGATGATCACTACTGTCAGTTACGTAATCTGGTACTTGGAAGCAGTTTTAACCTGATCAGAAGTAGAAATTTGACTTTATGAAATTTTATTTTGAAGCTTTGTAGGGTACCTCCTACCTGTGAGATAATTATTGGGATGGAAACCTTGCTGTGACACTGTTCCAAACAGGTAAATTAAGTACTCTCATCTAACCAATCTAGTAGGGAAATTCAACTATTTAGTGTTGCCAATCACAATTGACTCAAATTATATTCTCTCTTTTTCGGTGTTCTATATAATTCTAAAACTAAAGTTAACAAATGATCATAGAAAACATTGTCAAACAATTTTTAATAATTTATAAAGCAGACGAGGTTGATTGGGATGGTAACTGGCATGTGGAAAGTTGTTATCAATGGTCACTGTCCCCTCTGATCTCACTTTGAGATCATTGTATCTTTAAAATCGCGGTTGGACAAGTGAATCCCTATTACACGAGCACTAAAATCCAGACAATTTGCAGATAAATTCGGTTAGGTGATGCAAAACCATTTGATGAAAAGTGCTCAAATCCATAAATTTTCAGATTTTTTTTTCCCTTTCAATAAAAGGACTTTTTTTTTTCCCTTCACTCATTGAAGCTTTTCCAAATAACATCCTGACAGACCCCTGAAGAAAGTGTATTGGGTAGAAATGAATTCATCAAGTGGAGCGTAAGGAAATAGAATGTGGGTTAATGGAGATGTACGAGTATTTTGTAAATAAATACACCCGTGATCGAAGGTAAAGGTTGTTCGAGAGAGGTTCAGGAGCTCTCTAATTCTTCCTCGACCTCTTATAATGCCTTTTGAATAGCGAGTTCTATCACGATCCTTGGGATGCACAAAATAAACTTACTTTCATAAGTTAGCTGGATTTTGCCAATTCTTTGTGCTTGTACTTAACTAAGGGATAACACTGTGGCACTTGTTTGATATACTTGTCTTCTCTAGGCTTTCTACCTTTCAATGACTTCTTAAAATTTATCTAAAATTTTGTCAACACTGCTAAAATATTTTGAAACACTACTTTTGTAAAATGCTTTAAAGATTTGGCCAATATTTCAAATTATTGATTGTATGTATAGCAACAGATTGGCATTGAACAAGCTTCTTTCTTTGGAAATAGAAAATGCGCATATATCAAATGGTTAGATAACTAAATTTTGAGGATAGGGTATCAAATTTTGGATTAAGCTGTGATGGTATAATATTTCATCAGTTTCTCATCGAAAATCGAAATGGTCATTTCTTATTAAGAGAGAAGTGTGGAAAGTTAAATATGTCTAGAGCTAGTGAAACAAAATGCGGAAATGTCATGACCATAGTTGAGGGAACCTATATTTACCAACCATAGACTCAAAAGGGAACACAACACACTAGAAAGTAGAATGAACACTACAAACATTGGTTGCAATTTCACTTCTTTAATCACAACAACACATTCATAGATCATCCCTTTTGCTCATCAACTCAAATTCCATAGATGGTGAGAAGTGGCCTGGTTTAGTATAAGAACCTATACACTGAAGAATTCTAACAAAAGCATACTCCTTACAAGGCAAGTAGAGTTTTGGACCATTGGCAAATCCAAACATTTCCTCAGCAGAATCCAGCAGTGCCTTAAACATAGGATTCTTCAGCACTGCAATCTCAATAACATATCTCCTGCACTCTTCACCCACGTACACCACAAAATGCCCCTTTGGAACATCCTCAGGAATTGCTTTTGCCTCAACACAACTTGACATCAAATCCCAACTGCAATAACTGCACCAAATTGCTGCATATTGTAGAGCCTGAATTGCTGCATTTCTGCACTTCTTGATGTATCGTTTTACAGATTTTCCTTTCATCGTTATCATGAATTGTGATTGTGATTGATCCTTCTGTCGACAAGACGGGTTTCGAAGAATATATAGATAGATGGATAGATAGGTAGATAGAGCGGTGTAAGAGCATGGTTTAGAAGGCAGTAGAAGCTGTGCTTGTGCATGCACTAAATGGTAAAAGGATAAGAAAGAGTGATGATTTGTTTTGACTGCTATGTTTTAATTTGGATAACGAGTTTGTTTTTATGTTTGTCGAATATCAATGTGTTTCCAGTAGTAAGAGAGCCAAGTTTGAAAGCTATATACCCCCACACAGTGGTCAGGAATGGGACAGAAGTTGGTTGGTAGTTTTCTTCTTCTTCTTCTTCTGTGTATTCTTATATTGCAATTTGCTTGCTCTTTCTTTGGATAACTTAAATTAAGCTCTCTCTCTTTCTCTCACATGTACATGGATGAACTTTGGCTCGTTGTTCAAGACAATAATTCTGAGCAAATATTTGATTATTCAATTATGAGGGAATACTGTTTAACTTCTGAGTTGTGGTGTAGTTGATTGGTCCATTTTTAGTTAGTCTTGAAAAGTCGATCTTGAACTGACTTTTGTTATGTTAAACTCGTCAACTTAGCAAACGAGTTTGTTTCCTTTGGGGCATCTAGGGTGCAAGTTCGACATCTTAAGCTTGTGAATGTCAGGTTTAAAGTAGATGGTTCAAAATGTTCGAGACAATGTGAGGGAGTGAGTTTAGGGGAGGTAGGTTCGAGTTATCAAAACCTATAAATTTGTCCAACAAACTCTACGCTTGACAACATGGATTTGGATACTCAAACTCTCACCCGAGACTGAAATGCAGTGCCACTACAGTAGCCATGTGGTGTCTTTTTCTTTGCTGCAATTTTGCCCTCATTTTTGTTTTGGTCCCAGGTTATATTATATTGATTTTTCACTGAAATTTTGTTCAGAATGTGAGCAAAACCTGGAGCTATAGCACACAGATTGAGCTTGAAGACAAAAGTTTGAAACTTTTGTTGTTTAGAGGGGAGAGGAAGAAAATGGAATGCAGCCATGTTGTTGCCCACACATGAACCTTTCATCATCAGCCCCATGGCCAACAGATTTCCAAAGATTTTTCACTTCCATACCATTAATCATTGACCTCTGCTCCTCTCCATTTGCTCACTTTGGGGAGAGAGATAATGAAGGATTGGATTTGTATGGTGGGAGAGGAGAAGGGGATTTCAAAATTTAGGTTCAAAATTTAGGGATTGAGGACAATTTTTTTGTTTAATTGTGTTTACTAAACTTGTTTTGTTAATGTCGTTTACTTTGTTTAGAGAAACTTGAATTTCTTGTGGGACCCAGAACTAAAGGAACAATTTGAAACTTTTTTTCAATAGTTTTTTAGTAAGTCAAAGTGGGGTAGGGGGATTCGAACTCATAACCTCACGATTGAAGATAAGTATTACTACCGCTGAGCTAAGCTTATGTTGACGAAACTATTTTTTTCATTTAAACGAGTCTTTGCTACATATAAAAGCAAAGTGTAGAATTAGCTACGTGATAGAATAAGACATTGTAAAAAGAGCATATGATTATGATTCAAAATTAACTCTCTTATTCGTTTGGTTTAATATTTCTTACCTTTCTAATCGTGGGAGATTTGAATCTCCAAATTCTATTGAACTAAAAAAACTCATATTTTTGTTTAAAGCATAAGGTTCTAAAATTGTAAGTACCTGTGTCGATAATTCAATTAAAAAAAATTGACAATGCAAGCATAATTAAGCTATTAATGCATCTTTCTCCTTCTCTACAGGTCAGAAGTTCAATCGTTACTATATTTGCTGTGTTAAGAAAAAATCAATTAGATGAGTTTTGCAAGTGTTAAAAGTAATTATAGAGGAATTTTAATTGCTTTTAGTGTTGAGTAAAACCTAATTTAAAGAACTTTTTTTTTTTTGTAAACTGCGCTGATTTATAAATCTTGGTTAACAATAGCTTCTGAGATTCAACTTTCCAAAAAATTAAGGCTCGTAGTTACTGACTTTAAGAAATTTTTATTATACCCTAATTTATTTCATATTAAATCTGATTTTAAGAAAAATATAATTAACCATCAATCCCGTACTAAGTGAGAGTTTATTAGTCAAAATTAATTAGGATAGATCCTAATCTGTCCACTAATAATCTTTTGATACAATAAAACAACACCAAATCAAGAAAGAGATTTAAAAAAAAAAGGAAAAAAGATATAAATGGACGGCGAGAAAGAATAAAAAAATACAGCTGAGAAACTGTGACACCAAAAATGGTGCGCACGTGGCTTATTTTAGCGACAAATCTTAGAAATAGCTATCGTGCGCAGGCAAAAAATGGCACTCGTGAGAATTGTCTTCCTTCGGTCTCTCTCATCGCTTGGGGTTCTTTAGAAGGTCAAAATTATCCATTATCTTTCAGTTAAGGTGCTATTGCTCGTTTGTTCTCTTCAATTTGCAAGATATTTTCCCATCTCTGTTCAAATTTCATGGTCCTCTGTGTTTAACATGCCGTAATTTCATCACAGATACGACCGATTTTTGTTTCTTCGAATTTAGGGTTTCCCTCGGCTCCAATGTAGTCGGCGTCTACAATAGATTTACGAGCTGCGACTTTTCTGCTCTTTCTCAACTTATGGTGGCACTGGCCGTCGTCGGAACTTTGATTTCTGTTTCCAATGGGTGGCGTCGAAATACCCAAGTGGCTAAAAGGGTTGCCTTTCGCGCCGGAGTTTCGCCCGACCGATACCGAATTCGCCGACCCCATTGCCTACATATCCAAAATTGAAAAGGAAGCTAGTGCTTTTGGGATTTGTAAGATTATCCCTCCATTTCCCAAGCCTTCCAAGAAATATGTCATTAGTAACTTGAACAAATCGCTTTCGAGGTCCACGGAGTTGAGTCCCCCAAATGTCTGTCCTTCATCCAAGTTGGGTTCTGCAGATGGTGCAAACGAGGGAGAGGTTCGGGCGGTTTTTACGACCAGACACCAGGAGTTGGGTCAGAGCGTGAAGAAAACAAAAGGGGTAGTTCAGAATCCGCAGTTCGGAGTTCACAAGCAAGTATGGCAAAGTGGGGAGAAATATACATTGGAGAAATTCGAGTCTAAGTCTAAGGTTTTTGCTCGTAGCGTGTTAAGTGGGATTAAGGAGCCCTCTCCTCTGGTTGTAGAATCATTGTTTTGGAAGGCAGCTTCTGGTAAACCCATTTATATAGAGTACGCAAATGATGTGCCGGGATCTGCTTTTGGAGAACCCCGGGGAAAATTTCGTTATTTCCATAGGAGGAGGAGGAAGAGAAACTATTATCACCGAAGTAAAGAACGGTCTTCTGAACTTAGGACTGGAGAAATGGGAACTTTAACGGATTCCCTTTCTTTGGACAGTGCAGGCACTTCCCCAAGGAATGATCTGAACACAAGTTCAGAGATTTTAAAGGCATCTACTTCCACTGTTCCCTCGGAGGACACTTCACACAACTCAAGAGGAAAGAGTTCAGATTCTTGTATTAACATGGAAGGGACGGCAGGTTGGAGGCTTTCAAATAGCCCTTGGAACTTGCAAGTAATTGCACGGTCGCCAGGTTCTCTTACGCGGTACATGCCAGATGACATTCCAGGCGTTACTTCTCCGATGGTTTACATTGGCATGTTGTTCAGTTGGTTTGCTTGGCATGTTGAAGATCACGAGCTGCATAGCATGAATTTCCTTCACGTAGGCTCTCCAAAAACTTGGTACTCCATTCCTGGAGATCATGCATTTGCTTTTGAAGAAGTAGTACGAACTCAGGCTTATGGTGGTAGTGTCGACCACCTAGGTATGGATTCATTTTGTTAAAGCAATCGGCAAGTTACATGTTTTTGTGTGTGCGTGTGTATTTATTATTATTATTTTTTTTGGTGGGG